GATTTATTACCATAAGAACAGCAAAATTAGTCAAGTGTTTACATTGACACGTTATCTTATCTCCTTCGACTTTATGACTAATGCAACCAACATTTGACCAATCACGTAGAGTTTCATTCCAAAATACACAGCTCGCATTTTCCGCTGATAGATTCTGATGATTACAAAATAGAATAGTCTTAAATATAAATATACTTACAAACAAATGTATATGAATTAATGGGTTTATACGGTACTAGAAGTATATGGAAATGAGGAACGATTATGTGGAAACGAGAAACTGTGCAGATATAGACATTCGTTATAGGCCTAAATGAAATCATAATCCATTGCGTTCTTCTGAGACTATGACTGTTCAAATATTAGGGCATACCGTTGGAACACTGAAGACAAGTTCAACGGGGTCATCAAATATTTTCGGTAGACTTTCGTCATAGATAGTTGCCGCGAGAACCACACCAGAAGTAAGCCTGTTAGATGATTTTACAGTTTCTGATGGAAAGAGGGCGTCGCTGTTAAACACAACGAAGCTAACGTTTACTTGTGTCCCTAAAAAAAGCAAACATTACAGTATCATTATAAATTTCATTATGATATACAGTTCAAATTAATGAGTCTATACATAAAAAATTCACGTCAATTATATTTCAAAGAATTACAATATGCATGCACCAACATCATTATCATACTCATCATCATCATCATCGTTGCTGTGGCTGACTTTTAAGAAGGTAATGCCATCTGTCAATTTCGTTTTATTTCCTCTTGTGCTGCACTTCACAGAATTGGCATTACATAATCATCATTATCATCATCATCATCATCATCACCATTAGTATTATTATAATTAATATTATAATTATTATTATTATTATGTAAAGCGCAGTAAGCAATGTGCTATATAAATATAACATTATTATTGTTATTATCATTATCATAATAATTATTATTATACAACAATAACTATTAATCCTAGATTAATAATATTAATATTATGGTGTTTTTTGTGTTTTTTTTTGGTTTTTTTTTTGGTTTTTTTGTTTTTGTATGTGTATACCGGTACCTACCATTCAGCCCCTTTAAAATGTTCTTTGGTAACTTAATCGATAAATCTGACTTCTTTTGGCAGTCTTTAAAGCAAGCGCTTGTCTGCATCGTATTCTGATTAACAGAGAAAAGGACATCTGAAGACAGCGCCTCCGAACTGAAACTACTAGTTTGGACGGCAAAGTTCTCGGCATGGTCGGTGAAATTCTGACCATCACTAGCAGCTGTGCCAACTTGCTGCTCAAGAGATCCAAGAATTACTGCAGAGGCTTCAATGAGAGCAGTGTTGTTATCGTCTAAATATTCAAACAGATTATCAATTGTGTCGATGACAGCTTCCGTAACCTGCAATTGCACAGCAGTTCAAACAATTTTTTTGTTAATCATTTCATTTTAATTTTATCTTTTAAATATCTGAACTTTGGTTTAATTCGAGTACGCATGTGTACATGTTTCTTAGAACGCTTTTGATGCTATGTTCGGGAGGTCAACTGACCAAGTTCTTCCAATTGGAAGAACTTGGCAAAAGTATAAAATGATGTGGTACGCACATGACATAATTCTAAAACTACGTCGTATGCAACTAACAGAAGTCTAACACTATGTGCAACTGGCATATTTTCTAAAACTACGCTGTATGCAACTGGTAAAAGTCTAAAACCATGTTAATGCATACAACTCTATAATAATAATAACTTTATAATGTAAAAGCATTATATGAATGCAAACAGTAAACAGACAATTAATTGATCTGAGTTATACGGCATAACCAAAATATGCACAAAAATATTGCCTACATTTTTGTTAGTAGAGTTTATGGCTACGATGTCTGTTAACCCATTAGAAACTTCTACAACGTCGGCAGGCTTCAAGACTTCAGCACTTTCTGTAATATTGTCTAGTTTGCTAGCAACAACATCAACATTATTTACAGTAACATCCTATAATATGAACAAACACAATCATTTTTATAATCTGTCCATAATAACGATAAAACGAACATATAACAAAAATGCTAATAAGCAATTAAATTTAAAATCTATCAGGCGATATTAGTGGAAGCCATCACCGTGGTTTCTGTATTATGAGCAGTTCCACTGCGTCACGCAAACAGAGCAGACTTATCGGATTAGAATAATGTTAAGTTACAGTAATCACACGAATATGACTTATATCTATGAACAGATACTTACTAAAGTAATGTTTGCGATTTCTTCAGTGAGACTAGTTTCTGAAAGATACCACAGAAATATTGCCATATAATAAACGGTTAGGCCTATACACCGAACTCAACACGTAGAGTACATTTTCGACAAATTTGAGAAGTTTGATAAAAAGTAAAAGAGAAACATGAAAAACAATTTCTTATATATTTGGATAGTCATATGCATATTTATTTATATGACTTGACCTTTGACATATCAATGCGTATACTTGAGACTTCAAAAGGGTGCACTTAGGCCTATTGAAGTAACATTACCTATAAGTATAAGAAATGAGCAATCGTTTTTGTTTTGTGCATAGTCCTCTGCCAGGCATGTGATTAAGTTTGCAGATCCAACCTGGTAGATTGTATTTGGCTGTGGATTGCACTCCGTCGTCTTGACCCCGAATTCATCTGTCGGTACGGGTTCTTTCCAATTCGGTGAAGTTTGCTCAGTTACAATATCTTTTGGACACGTGATGCTTGGTGGAGTAGTATCTGGTAATAAAAAAAATCTTGCGGGTAAAACGGAAATTATCGGGATTTAACATAGTAATTAATATGTAATATTAATCGACACTTTTTTAACAGTAGCAAACTTCAAAATTGTGAAGGTGCGTCCAAAAGGAATACTGTACAAAAGCTCAAACAATGCAACTCTCATGATAATATTGAAGGCAAAAAATAAATGACCAACCAAAGATAATAAAGAATACGAATAAAGTGTATAGCAAAATTTAATATGTCAAATATATAAAATCATTTTAATTTACTTTTACAGAATTATATATACAGGTATTTATATATGTACATATAAATACAAATACACATACACAGCTTTATATACATATACATACCTATATAAACAAATGGATAATATTAGTAATAGTACTCGGATAGGAACAAGATGTTATAATCGAATCGAGCAAACACCATAAGCGAAAAGTATAATAACTAAAATTTGACTTTGTGAGGAGTGGTTGCCACATAAATGTACACAGTATAAAAGTATATATATATATATATATATATAATTATATATAAATAAATATAAATAAATCAAATATCTACACCATTAAAAGGAATCGAACACAAGCAAGATACTGAAAATATCTAAGCAGAATGTAAACAATGTAAAAATATTATTAAATACAGGTTCACTGTACTATATAAAATTTTAAAACAAAGTACCAATGTGGTCGCAAAATACATCAGATTACCATTTCAAATAAGAGAAAATCTTTGAATTAGCAATGTGGAAAAGCAATATTAAATAATAATATTACAATTTACACATTTTTTAGGCAAGATCTTCCTTTCCATGCTAATTGTGTACTCTTTACAGAAAATATTAAAGAACCATATGATGAATTTTCACAATTTATATATTTGTTACCGATAATAAACATGAATTATGTATTATCGTTGCTATTAGAACATCTATCCCATGTGCTGTCAAGTCCATGGGGTCTAAGGACATCTTGATAAATGCTTGGTACTCTTCAAGCCTAAACTTGTTGTATTCTTCAAAGTCAAACAGAAAATGAATCAATAATATCAAGTGAACACAAAAGTGCATTTACCATTGATTCTACTCGATGCCCACTTAAATATACTTCTTGAAATAATTTAAACCTTTTTTTGTGTGTATTGTTTATAACAGAGTTTTTTTTTTATTTTATCGCAGGTCAATTTAAACTTCATAACCGATGTAGAGAAAATCGTGATAACTAAATATCTAATGATTGGTTGAAGTTATTGTTCCATAAAACCTCGAATTGAAGCCTGTGTTTCTGCTTCTTGTTTTTGTTTTTGTTTTTGTTTTTTTTTTTTTCGAACTTTGGATGGGCGTCTTTTCGAGATGGCCTTCTTTTCAAGGCTACTTTTGCAAAGTAAAGAAGGGGGCTTCTTTTCAAAATAAATGCTGTAAATTTTGAGAATTGCTACTATAAAACAATAAACAGGGTCACTGTAACTTCGGTCAGTATCATGGAGTGAATTAACTGGCAACAAATCACCTAAAACTAACATATCAACCAAGCGTGTTTAAAATTTATTTTGTTTCTTTCAAGTTCATGTACAGTGTATGTTCTGTACTATCTCGAAAAGAAGCCCATGGCTTATTTTTCATGTCTATTTTTGCAAACTAAAGAGGGAGGACTTAAATTCAGGATGGGCTTCTTCTCGAGATTAAACCCATTGGGTTTCTATTTGAGGTTTTACGGTATAGAGTTAAGTAACACATCATTAACTGCTAGTATCCTATGATTGCTTGATGTTATTTTACCATAGTTCATACATTTAGACCAAACAACAGATCATCATCATCATTATCATCTTCAGGTTGGCAATAGTGTTTAATAATCAACTTTAAAAGTATGTACACCCTGTACCTACCAACAAATACACTAAATCTACATGAGTGCATGTTATTTACTCAGTCCTTTGCTATGCAATTGATATCACGTACTGTATACGGTCGAATGATGGATTGACTAATTCTGCTTAGGTTTATGTTACATCTAGAGCAAAGTATTATCTTATTTTTTTAGAATACAGCATGTTGTTATTCATAGGACTTTAAGTCGGAACTCTCATAAAATGGTGAAAATGCAGAAAATACAAAATACAAAAAAAAACTCTCTTGAAATAAGTACCGGAGTATTTTATTCCAATTCGAAACTTACCGACTGTTATATTAAACATACAGGACGCGGTGTTGTTGGCTTGGTCACTGGAGGTACACTCAACACTACTTACACCGTCTGGAAATAGATACCCGGATGGAGGATAACCTGTCTCTTATACACATCTAGATGTGAATAAGAGACAGGTATACGGTCGAATGATGGATTGACTAATTCTGCTTAGGTTTATGTTACATCTAGAGCAAAGTATTATCTTATTTTTTTAGAATACAGCATGTTGTTATTCATAGGACTTTAAGTCGGAACTCTCATAAAATGGTGAAAATGCAGAAAATACAAAATACAAAAAAAAACTCTCTTGAAATAAGTACCGGAGTATTTTATTCCAATTCGAAACTTACCGACTGTTATATTAAACATACAGGACGCGGTGTTGTTGGCTTGGTCACTGGAGGTACACTCAACACTACTTTCACCCTCAGGAAATAGAGACCTGGATGGAGGATAACACGTGACTGATGGAGGAGGGTTATTACCATCAGTAGCTATGGGGTCTTTGTAGTTCACAGTTGATGTTGGCCAAATCGGATCACTCGAAGGGCAGTCAATCTTGGGATGTATGGTATCTTTTTTTATAAAATGAAACAAATTATAGAAAATAAATAGGCCTAAATCAATATACACATTATTATGATACAGTATATACATATGGATATTTGTTGTTTACTTCTTCTAATTATAAGCCTACATTTTAGTGTCAAGAAAGGTTACTAGTACGATACAATACACATATTGCACCTACCAACAAATTAATTGAAAAACTTACCGACTGTAATATTAAATCTACAGGACGCGGTGTTGTTGGCTTGGTCACTGGCGGTACACTCAGCATTACTTACACCGTCTGGAAATAGATACCCGGATGGAGGATAACATGTGACTGATGGAGGAGCGTTATTACCATCAGTAGCTATGGGTTCTTTGTAGTTCACAGTTGATGTTGACCAAATCGAATCACTCGAAGGGCAGTCAATCTTGGGATGTATAGTATCTTTTTTTTATAAAATGAAACAAATTATAGAAAATAAATAGGCCCAGATAAATATACACATTATATGACACAGTATACAAATATTGATATTTGTTTTTTATTTATTCTAATTATAAGCCTACATTTTTAGTGTCAAGAAAGGTGTTACTAGTAGGCCTAAGATACAATACACACATTGCACCACCAACAAATGAATTGAAAAACTTACCGACTGTAATATTAAAACTACAGGACGCGGTGTTGTTAGCTTGATCACTGGAGGTACACTCAACACTACTTACACCGTCTGGAAATAGATACCCGGATGGAGGATAACATGTGACTGATGGAGGAGGGTTATTACCATCAGTAGCTATGGGTTCATTGTAGTTCACAGTTGATGTTGACCAAATCGGATCACTCGAAGGGCAGTCAATCTTGGGATGTATAGTATCTTTTTTTATAAAATGAAATAAATTATAGAAAATAAAAGGCCTAAATAAATATACACATTATTATGACACAGTATATACATATGGATATTTGTTGTTTACTTCTTCTAATTATAAGCCTATATTTTTAGTGTCAAGAAAGGTTACTAGTACGATACAATACACATATTGTACCTACAAACAAATGAATTGAAAAACTTACCGACTGTAATATTAAAACTACAGGACGCGGTGTTGTTGGCTTGGTCACTGGAGGTACACTCAACAGTACTTACACCCTCAGGAAATAGAGACCTGGACGGAGGATAACACGTGACTGATGGAAGAGGGTTATTACCATCAGTAGCTATGGGTTCTTTGTAGTTCACAGCTGATGTTGACCAAATCGAATCACTCGAAGGGCAGTCAATCTTGGGATGTATAGTATCTTTTTTATACAATGAAACAAATTATAGAAAATAAATAGGCCTAAATATATATACACATGTTATGACACAGTATACACATTATATATGTATTTGTTTTTTATTTCTTCTAATCTGAGCCTAAATTTTTAGTGTCAAGAAAGGTTACTAGTATGATCAGGGAGCTGGTATGATACAATACACACATTGTACCTACCAACAAGTGAATTGAAAAACTTACCGACTGTTATATTAAACATACAGGACGCGGTGTTGTTGGCTTGGTCACTGGCGGTACACTCAACACTACTTTCACCCTCAGGAAATAGATACCCGGATGGAGGATAACATGTGACTGATGGAGGAGGGTTATTACCATCAGTAGCTATGGGTTCTTTGTAGTTCACAGTTGATGTTGACCAAATCGAATCACTCGAAGGGCAGTCAATCTTGGGATGTATAGTATCTTTTTTTATAAAATGAAACAATTATAGAAAATAAATAGGCCTAAATATATATACACATGTTATGACACAGTATACACATTATATATACTCTGTCTCTTATACACATCTAGATGTGTATAAGAGACAGGTATATACATATGGATATTTGTTGTTTACTTCTTCTAATTATAAGCCTACATTTTAGTGTCAAGAAAGGTTACTAGTATGATCAGGGAGCTGGTATGATACAATACACACATTTTACCTACCAACAAATGAATTGAAAAACTTACCGACTGTAATATTAAAACTACAGGACGCGATGTTGTTAGCTTTGTCACTGGAGGTACACTCAACACTACCTACACCCTCATGAAATAGAGATCCGGATAGAGGATAACACGTGACTGATGGAGGAGGGTTATTACCATCAGTAGCTATGGGTTCAGTGTAGTTCACAGTTGATGTTGACCACATTGTATCACTAGGACAGGTAATCTTGGGATCTACAGTATCTTTACATAAAATAAACCAATTATTATAGAAAATAAATAGGCCAACATAAATATACACATTATTATGGTATACGGATATAGATATGCTTTTATTTCTTTCTTGTAGGCCTAATTTTTTAATACCAAGAAATATTATTCTCAACGCAGGGCAGTTATATCACTTTTGTATAAAAAAGGAAAACCTGAACTGGTTAGGAACTGGAGACCGATCAGCTTACTCAATTTCGACTACAAAATTGCTGCAAATGTTCTCGCAACTAGGGTAAAACCAATATTAAATACCATTATTAGCGAAGACCAAACTGCATATATTAAAGGACGCTCCATCGGATCCAATGTAAGGTTAATTGATGATGTCATACATTTTTGTAACGAAACCAAGATAAATAATGCCATTGTTTTTGTAGATTTTGCAAAAGCGTTCGATTCTGTGTAGAATGGAGTTTTGTCAGCCAGGCTTTAAAAAGATTCAATTTTGGTATATCTTTTATTTGTTGGGTAGAAACATTGTACACAAATGTACAAAGTACGATTTGTAACAATGGTTGGGTTTCCAATTATTTTTGTCTGCAAAGAGGTTTGAGACAAGGATGTCCGCTCTCCGCTTTACTTTTTATAATTATTCCAGAAGTATTAGCGAATAAAATCATGCAGGATTCTTTAATTAACGGTATTCAATGTGAACATAATAACACAGTGGATATTAAGATATCCCAATATGCTGATGATACGACACTGTTTGTGTCAAACAAGAGGACATTAGATAGAGTACTAAAATTATTAAATGATTTTGGTAAAATGGCTGGTCCCAAGGTAAATTATCAAAAAACAATAGGTATTTCTTTTGGAAATATTAACAATAAAGCTTTTAGGTGGACTACTGATCCTGTTAAAACACTAGGAATATATTTTAGCAAAAACATGAATTCATGTTACGATCAAATATGGAAAGAAAAAATTGAAAAATTAAAAAAAACTTTTAAAAATTGGAGTCGTAGAAACCTCACTCCCTTCGGCAAAACAACCATCATGAAAACACTGGGGTAATCTAGCTTAACCTTTTTAGCTGCTTCCATTCCCACTAGTGAGGAAGTTATAAAAACTGTAAACTCTTTAATTTTTTCCTTTTTATGGAACGGTAAGAAAGACAAGGTAGCTAGAAACGTGGTAATTCGGAAACCGATTGAGGGCGGGTTAAATATGTGTGATTTTGAAAGTCATTGTGGCTCTCTCAAAGCCACTTGGGTAAATAAAATCTTAAAAAGCTCCGCTACATGGGCACAGGTTGCTACTACCTTTTTAAATAAGTTAGGACCGGATAATATGATTTTAAAAATGAATTTAGACAAGATTAAAAATATCCCAAATTTAAATTTAAATCAGATCCCATTATTTTATCGCCAGGTTATTTTAGCATGGTATTCATCATATCAGATATATACACCTATATCAGCAGAAGAAATAAAAAGTGAAGTTATATGGAGAAATCATGTATTGATAAACGGCAAATATAATTCTTTCCCTTATCTAAAACACTTGATTAATTCAGGAATAGTATATATCAATGATCTTTTAAATAAAGACGGCATATTATGCCAATATTATATTAAAAACAAACTTAAAACCTCTGCAAATTGGTTAGTTGAATTAAAAACAATAATTGATGCTATTCCGGTTTCATGGAAAGAAAAAATACGAAAAAATCCAGGAAAACTAAATTGTATAATGTAAAACAAATAAACAAAATATACAGGTGCTTAAAACAAAAGATTTTTATCATCAACTAATATAAAAAAAAATCTGTAAAATCACACGTTGAAAATAAGTGGGAAAATGAATTAAATATCAAAATAAATTGGCATAAGGTATGGCTTTTAAAACTCATTAAAATTAAAGAAAGATTACTAATGAATTTTAGTTATAAATTTCTTTTTAATCTCATACCATGTCAAAAAACTTATTTAAATGGAAACTTATTGATTCGCCTCTGTGTAAAAGATGCAAAATTGAAGACGACTACAAACATACGTTTATTTCATGTAAAGAGATCACAGTTTTTTGGAATCAATTTAAATTTTTCTTACATAAACTGGACCTCCCAAAAGCTACAGGGTAGCCTACGATGTTCCATCATGTCCTTATTTAAACACTGTATATGTACCTTTGATGATTTATATTATATTTATTCAACAGTGTTAACGGCTAACTCCCTTCAATATCATATATAATATACGACAGTATTTCTTGCCGTATTGCCAGATTTATCTGGCCGAACGCCCTCCTGAGGCGTAGCATTGTGTAATACAATATTCCCGACGGTTATTTGGACCTGTTCAACCACGAAGCCTTCATGGTCTAGTGGTTATGATGCTCGCCTTGTCAGCGAGAGGTCGCAGGTTCGAATCCCGTCGGAGTCATTTTATTACACAATGACTTTTATAGGACTTTATTCGTTGAAAGGCTACAGGGTAGCCTAC